AAAAATTCAGAATCTTGAAATATTTTCATATTATTCCTTCAACCTTCATTTTTCAAATACTACAACCAGTTCTTTTCTTCCAATAAAATTTTTTATGCCGTAATTGTAATTACGTTTCTAATTTAAAACACTCTTTCTGAATATTACAATCACCTTGGAAAAAAATGTATTTTAATAAAATTTTACTAAATTCAGTATATTATAAAATTTACTACTTTAACAAATTTCTTAAGGTAGCAATCAAAGCAAAAAATAATTTCAAGTATACAAATATTTCAAATTAGAATTCTGAAATAATTTGTCAAATAAAGTGAATCGGGTATTATGAGTATTTTACATATATCCTAACATTTTGCAATTAATATTCTCAAAACTTACGTGATATACAATCTAAATATACTCATAATACAAGATAAATCAATTTAATGAGAAATTCTCAATTAAAAATTTGTATCGTTTAATAATAAATAATACAAATTTAGTAAATAAGCATTTTTTAAATACTTAAGTAAACAAATATGAAATATGTCTCTCAGACATTCAGGGTTGTCTCTGAGACATCTAAAAGAATATCCTTGGGATATCCAGAAACTAAATATAACAGACATCTAAACGATGTGAGAGAGATATCAATGTTTAACTTGGGACATCCCTTGGATGACTGTGGTAGGTCAAAGATATCTGTCGGATGTCTCTTGGATATGCAACAGACATCAATATCCAAATATCTGCTAGACATCACACGGATGCGACCCCTGGATTTCTGTTGGATATTTCATGGATATTCAGACGTCTCAGGGATCTCTGATGGATATGGCAATATCCAGTTTTTTTATCCAAGAGATATCTCTAAGATGTGTTGTGGATATTTGTGGCTGTATGGGTTATTTAACAACTTTTCACAATTAAGAACGTCGTCCCGCAGTGGACTGATCATTATGACAGAGACACGGTTCCCGTTCCCAGCAGATCACGAAATATAGATTTCTGTGTGTTCACGCGATAGATTAATGAAGAAGCTAACATAAAGCACATGAATTTTACACTGTACAGATATTTTGTTTTAAAAAGAAGTACAATAAAGAATTAAACATAAAATAAACTTTTTATTGGATTTGGAAGCAACTGCCCCATATGCCCTTGCCTTAGTCAGGCTCTGCATGTATCCTTTAACATAAAATCAGGGCTTCACTGTATAAAGATGATTAGAAACTATGTACTCCATAATGAGCCCAATAGCAGAAACCTCCCAGCATTATTTTACACTTTTTCAGCTTCTGCAACCATTTCATTCTGAGCTGAAAACAACAAAAGTTTCCACATTATTATCTACCTTATTTAACAACTTTTCGCAATTACGAACGTCATCCCGCAGTGGACTGATCGTTAAGACACGGTTCCCAGCATTAAGTTCCAGACATATTCCACACACAGCTTCTGTGTTTGTTAATTGTGATCACTATTTGTCGCTTGGTACCAGACCGGGTAGCTGTTTGACAGCTGACAAAGACCCTCAGTCTCAAACCGCCATCACACGTCTCCGCTGTGGACACCTGAAATCACTGAGGTACTCTGGAAGAGAAAAGTGCTCTTCGGCCCAGGCATCCCCATAGCATCTACTGGACTGCCTCGGTCTTTTAAAACAAGACCTTATAGAAAGACCCTTACTTGTTTTAGACTTTTTGAAGGTGAACAAACTCATGGACCTTGTCTAGCTAGACTAGAAATGGGGATTTGAAAGAAGAAGACTATTTGTCCAAATGACAATTCCTCGAGGGCACAATTAACAGCAGGTACAACTTGTAGTAGGAATAATTCATAGTGAGTATATTTTTTGAAATTTTGATGATGTTGTAGTTCACTTACGACACACTAGAGCTGCACGATGGGCTATTGACGACAGTCTGGGAAACATCACTGAGGATGATCCGAAGACATGCCATCACAATTTTGAACCTCTGCATAGGGGGTGACACCCTCGCTTCGGTAGCCCGACGACCTGCAAGCGAAGTCGAGCACTTTACGGTAGAACAGTTTAACGAGGACCAATACCGCACACCATCGGTCCTTATACAGACTTATCCAAGTAGTCACCTACCCGCAGCCAGCGATACAAATTGTGAAACTGCCCAGTCAGCGACATTATCTCCCATTTGTCCTCGTGTTTCATCCTCTTTAAAGCAAAATTATATAACTAATTTTATTGAAGAAAATATATTTTTCTTATTTTGTTTTTGATGCACTCTATATTTTATTTCAGTAAAGGAATTCAAAATCTGGTGTGTAATCTGGACCGCAGCCAGTGTGTGATGCTTGACTTCGGTGTTCCACTGGGAACACCGAAGACAAGCATCAACATTCTTTACGAACAGTCCACTGCGGAACACAAGTTATGAGAGAGTTCTATCTGAATAACGCAAAAAATTCAACCGTTAATCGAAATTAGTATTTTAATGAATTAAAATAAAATTAAACATTAGGAAATCATCTAGTAATGAAAACACCATTCAAAAATTGAATTGCAAAAATTTGTCCATCTAACGAATAAAAAAATTTTCTATTATTAAAACTTACTTTTCAACATAATTTTTTAATAAAACTAACAATAAGAGTGTGAAGCTATTTGGAACATATTGTCAAAATAGTGGCTAATCCATTTAATTTCAGACAAAAATTTATTTTTCTTTAGAGAAAGGTTTCCATGATCTCAAAATTTATATTGACTTGCAACGTTTAATTAATTAGCTTAATTTAGTCTATTTCCTATATCACTGACAGCGAAATAATTTGATCTTCAAATCAAAAAATATTTAGGACACATTTTTCTCATTATGTTTATAAATATTTTTGTTTGACACTTTTGCTGGTCACATACACTAAAAAATGTTGGTGCATACCTGTCACATTTTTTGATGTTGTGGCAGACTAAATACATTTTTAATTACAAAATGTAGTTATTATTCAAAAACTTACATAAAATTTACGAAATAATAATTGTTTGAAACAATCAGTGCAAATATATATATAACTACTAATGTGCTTATAACAGAATGTTTACGCAATGAAGTCGAAGATTGATTCCAATGTGCATCAAAATGTGAGTTGTCTGCAAACAAACAAATACTAACAGTGATAAAAGTAAGAAAAAATATATCTATATGCACACCAAAAATGGTCGTAGTTATAAACCAACATTTTTAACAGTGTACTCTAAAAAGAGCCACTTTTCGCAAGGAAAAACTTACTAAATTAATGATAGCTAAACTAAAAACTGATAACTTTAAAAAAAAATTTCTCAAAAAAATAATAAAATAACCGCTGCAAAAACCGAAATCAATTAAAAAAAGTTCGAAACAATTATTAAGCATAATAAAATTAATTTTTTTCAATCTAGAATATTTTCGTGATAAATATGTTACCAACATTTTGCTTTAACAAGATAAACGGTAATTAAAAACTTATTTTACCATCAACGTTTCACGAAACAATCTTTTTCACGAAATTATTTTGCAGGGCACTAAGGACTAACAACATCTTTTCGTATTGAAAGTAAAGAACAAGATTTTAGTATCTTGCATAAGCTTTGCTCATATCGCTCCGATTCTGAAAAGTAACAATAAGATCACACAACTCCCTTAGGTGCTTTACAATATTTGAGTGGCTACAGATGAAATAATTAGTTTGTGTAGACAATCGAAACGCAAGTAATTGTGCTCACAGCTGCCATGATTTTCACGTGACATACATCCGTACTGGTGATACACACCAGTGCTAATAATATGTAAATCCAGTAGGCAAGATACATATTCGAACCTGGAAGTACAGTATGCATGTATCCTAACACAATAATATTATCAAAATTAAAAGCGCACACACATATATATTTAAGGCTAGATTTAATGTAGCAGATTGAATGGCATACTTTAAATATCCAGAGAAATTTATACCCAAATGCAAATGAGGGAAAAAATGATATTTCTATTTATTGATGTCTCTAATCGTAAATTCTCCAAAGTAGTTCAGCTTTAATGTAACAGATTGGATTAAATGATAAAATCGCAATTTCATAAGAAAAAATAAGGCTAAATACATCAAGGTGTCATCTTGACACATACCTATCCAGCATTATTTGTATAGCCATTTACCAGATGCTGACATATTTTGATAATCATTTATTTACTGCAATACACAAATGGCCAATTTTAGGTTAATAATGAATTGACAGAATAGCCAATTTTCATTTTCATTCACATAGGCACGGATCTGTGTAACATATAACTTTGTGACAAATTTTCAAAGAATAAAAAAAAATGTAAGAGTCAGTGCAGAAGAAATTAAAGGAGTTTGAAGGTGAGAATTTGGGAAAATAGAAACAAGAGTCCAGAAAAACAGTTTAATTTTTTCACAACAAAATTACAGAGAAAGTCCGGAAGATAATTAAATAAAAAATTGAAAAGGGTGTACTTTAACAGGAAAATACAAAGAAGGAGAGTATTAAAAATATATAAGACAAGATGCTATAGTTTACATGCATACTTCAAACTTTGAAAGAAAAAAAAAGAAATAATAAACCAATAAGATACATTAGCAAGAGCTTGCTTATCCAGGCTGTTAAAAAAACAAAGTTAACTACCCTTACCTTAAGGGATGTTTTATCTTACACAGTTAGAAAATAATAATTTTTTTTAATATTTTTAAATGTGAAACATAAGATTTATTTTAAAGAAATTTTAAATCTTAAGGTAAAAATATCAAGGTTGATTATTTGTTTAACTTATTGCAATACAGAGAAGAAGAAAATTTTTTTTTTTCGCTCTACAAAGCATTTTTGTTTCAGATTGCATCCACAAATATGGATTAGGAAAAAGAAAAACAGCACTGGATAATGAAGCTTTCACTGTAATTAGTAATATTTAAGGGCAGTACAAGAAGGTAAACATTTATATAGAAGAAGCTCAAAGAGTTAATCAATACTACACCAAGTATATGATACACTACAGCTACACAAAGCAAAGAAAAGTTAGTAGAAATAACCAATAGTTAAGCACATTAAAAACACGAATACAAACGCATCGGTAAGCTGTCTAATCTAATTCAGTTACAAAATAGCTGAACTGATTCTAAATCCACAACTGGAGGATTTTAATTTTGGGAATTAATGCTAAAAATTATATCCTTAAGAGAAATCAAGTATGTGAACCCACAATACCACATGGCGTGATAGAGGTGCATTAAAATGTTTAACTCCTGACAATTATTTAATATAACAGTTATATTCTTGGAACAGTTCTGAATATGTTATGCCTGTAACAAATATGCATGAAAATAAACGAACAGTGGAAAGGTCTAAGTGGATATGTTTACAAAAACTTGGTATCAAAGGAATTTTATATTATAGTACTATTAGAATGAAAAACTTCACTTTTTCTCATCCAAATAAATTATAAAGATTAAAAATTAGATTGCTTTAAATTTAATTAAGAAACAAGTTTAAATGCACAATAGTTATTTACTAAGATACACAAACTAATTTTTCTGAATGACAGAAAATAACTAAAAATAAGAGTTTCTTCAATGGAAAAAAAAATTATTATAATATTAAAATTATTATATGTCAATAATGAAATGCAAACTGGTTGGCATTTCTAAATAAAAAATTAACAGGAGATTTAACCTAATTACTTTCAAATTGTTACTTGCAAACAAATAGTTGATTAAGAAGTTCTTGCAGATTACATAATATATCTAAAAATTAGCACTTTTTTTAAGCAAGAGCAATAAATATAAATCAAAGGGCATGTTCAGTACTAAAATACGTATTGGTTGAATTTTTGAAAAAAAATTTCTGAATAAAATAAAGCAATGACCTAGATCAAACTTAATTACTTTTGATTATTATTTGTTAACGTTTAGTATTACATTCAGAACTAATTTTTTGAAAATAACTGTTATGACCCATGTTTACGTGGACTTAAGTCTATTATGTATTTTATTCATATACAGAAAATTTTCACAGATTTTATTTTTTTTTAATGTAAGACAAATTTTATTTTTCAATACACATTATAAAAATTTTTTAATTTTTTTGTCACAAGCAAAACAGTGCTCACAAAAGTAGCACCTGTTAAAAAAGGCACAGCTTGTGTTGTGTGCTTACAATGTATCATTTGGCCAATAGCCTCGTATGTAAAATTACAATTATGCATGTAAGTTTGTATACATATATATTTATAAATGATATGATTTTAAGCACTTTCGGCATTTAACCAATCTTTGTCTTCAAATTCAAGAACTTTAAGAGTTGCCAATTAAATAACGGGATTCCATGTCATAACTTTGATTTGAGGTAAGCAATATATTTGACACAAGTGGGAGAAAAATTTTCCGATAACAATTGGAGAAAAAAAAATTAATTTACTGCGTCAAATTGATTTTTCAATGCACAATAACAAAATTTGCTTTAAAAAAAAAAGTTTTTAAAAGAAAAATGTAGACATTTTAACAAATAATTATTCAAACTTCAATTAATAATGTTAAAACGCAGTATGTTGATGGTGATATGTTTATCACTGATATTGTATGATGTATTTTAACATAGATAAATATTTTAAACTATTTTGTTATCAGAATATTCACAAAAATACCATTTATTCAAAAAAATACCAAATTCCCAAAATTCAATAATTTCATTTGGGAGTCCTGTATCACTCAAGCTTATTTTCAGTATAAAAATTTCTAATATCTTTTGAAACTTTCATTTTGACACTAAAATTGATCAATTAAAAACTGAACAAAAATATTTTTTTTCTCATTTAAATCTCGTCTTAAGTTTAGAATATAATTAAGCTCATATTAAGAGGAAAATTCAGAAATTATATTTAACTATGCATAAAGGCACAATAATTTAAGATCAAATATTCATGCACAGAAATGACACTAGAAAAAAGATTTTACAATACACCAAGAGTGGCAAAAGAAATTGTAAAATCTTTAATCCATTTGGGTCATGTGATCTTTTATACATACTTTTTTAAATTCCAAGAAAGCTATTTTATTTAACAGTTGCATAATAAAAAATTACATTTCAAATAGCCCTCAGATAAAAGCTGTACACAAAACTATCAAAGTTACTAAGCTAAATGTGGTCCGTCTTTGCAATTATTTTCTCCCTAATCTCATGAACAAGATGGTTTCTATATGAAAAAATTTATTAAAATATGTAGACACAAGAAATCTTATCTAGACTATTAATATGCAAAATACAGAAAAATATATATATATATTCAAGAAAATTAAAAAATACAAATACATCTGCAAATGGAATGTTACTTAACTATTTTGCAGATTAAAAAAAAAAAAAGAAAAATCAAAGTAACAATCATTAAATGCTATTAAAAATATATATTCTACAGCAATTTATATTTCAATTACAATATTAAAATCACATTATAGCAATTTGACTCAAAATGAATATTAATTCAAATATATTTACACACATTTGGTTCATTAATTAACAGATTAAATATGAAATGTCCATTAATAAACATTTTCATACAAATCGATACGAAAGTTGAGTTTCAGTCTTTAATAAGTCTCAGATAGATGTGGAAACATTAGTATCGAAAAAAGGATATAAAGAATTACAAGTGATCAGCTGCGCTAATAGCAGCAAGTAGCTACAGTGATCAAACAAAACAGGATTTAATAACGTGTATCGGCAGCCACGATCAGCAACAATTAATATACTTTCAGAAGCAACAATATGCATACAAAGCGCACACGCGAAAAGTATTTTACTAAGACAGTAATAAATGTGTATAGATAAAAGTTAATATGAAAGGAATAAACAGGCGGGTTTCTATCAAAGGATGAGGATTAAAAAAAATGATAGGATACTTTTATTTGTGCCTTTTTCAGAGAATTTGTAATTGTTTGCAAAAATACAGATCATTTTATATAAAAGACAATGTTATTAAAACCCATACCCAAGAAACAGATCCTTCACATTACAGGAAAGATCAGTAACAGTTCATGTCTGTGATACGAAGCAATAGAATAGGGAAATGACATCCATAACAGGAAAACAAATGAGGAAATGAGAAATAAGAGACAACAGTTATAATGTTGCTTAAAAACAATTAAAGGCGGAAAATCAAAAAATACAAACATATTCAGCAGAATATAAACAAGTCATTGCATATGTTCACGAAAATATTTTTACAACAGATTAATAATTTTTTTTTTTTTTTAATTATGTTACATGATCTTGATTTAGAATAGTAAGAAACAAAATTGAAGGGTTGATATGCAGCTCTTTCATAATCTGCTGAAAACTAAGTGAAATTAATTAATGAAATGCGATGTGAATGACTGTACATGTAATAAGTTCAGTTCTTGTGTACATTTGATGTTTACTGGTTGCTTCTATGTATCACAGACTGTACGAAACTACAAGTTAAGCTTCATATGGTTGACTTGGAAAATGATACTCTAAGATGACTTGCATCGCTTAGCTGGTAATTGTGCATTTTCTATAGAAGAGAAAAAAAGTTAGATACTGTATTTCTGAATTTTTATTTCAATTATAACTAGTTACACCAATATAAGATTCAATAATCAATGCTCAACAACAAAAACCTCAAAATGACTTTTTATTGTAAAAATTATTAAAAAAGGTGTATGAAAAAGTTACAAGCACTTCAAAAGCATTGTCTAACTAATAAATATGAACCTGATACTATATCTACTGAATTCTTTCAAATAACATTAAAAATGTTTAAAAAATAACAATGTTGATATTAATGCCACAAAAATTATAAAAAGTTCTGATGATTTTTCTTTTTCTATTCCTCAATTTTTCGATTATGAGATCAGGAATTAATAGTCTTTAACTTGGCATCAAAGAAATATTTAATACTCAAAAAAGATTTAAGTATTTAGAAAATTCAAATTCTTTAAAATGAAATAGATAAACAAATGAAAAAAAAGTCAAGCATTTTAGCCTTTATTTATGATAAAAAACAAGGACATAAATTTTAGCAAATTTAATTGCTACGAAATTAATTTTAATCCATTTAATTTGTGGGTGAGCTTCAGATAACACGATAAAAAAGATTCTACACAAGTGCACAAAGTAAGGCCTTAAGTGTATAGGCATCATGCATATTAGACCCATGATATAGATAATAAACAGCACATTGTTCCTAACAGCTTCATTAAACCCAATTTTTAGTTTACGATTATCAGTGGCTCAAGCATGGAGACAAACTAGACTTTTCATAGAACTAACCCAGAATCGCATTACAAGCAGTGAAAAATCACGAAAACCTCTCAGTTAGCCTGACAGCATGGGGATTCTAACCCATGATCTGAGGATATTTATTATGTTCACTGAGGATGTTTTACACATGCACTAAGTTTAGTGCAAGCTGGGAGCAGAAATTGTATCAACCAGACACTTCTGGGATTTAAACCTGGGTCGCCTCCATTGGGAGGTGAACACTTTATATCCTGAGCCGTCACGGCTCCCCTCTCTGGTATTATTATCATTATCATGATAAGCTCATTGAACTAATGCACAACTCAAATGATTATATTTCCCTTGGTCTATTAAAGTAATGAAAACCACGAACATCAAGTGTCTAAAAAATGTGCCTATTTCATAATCAAAGTGACATAACTATGCAATTTTTAATAAAATAAAAGTAATACAAAATTTGATAGTCAGCGAAAATGTTGGAACCCTTAAACAGTGCTTTAAAAGCAAGAGTTGATAAGAAAACAAAATCGTCATTATTGGAATTATGTTTCAAATAGAATCTTGCTTCAGAAATGTTAAAAACTTTAAAAAATAAATAAATAAATAACAGATTTTCTATTAATGTTTTTCTTTTCTTTGTGAGAACTACTTTTAATTTTAACTATTTAATTGAAGAACTTCGCAAATACAGAATATTAACAAGTTAACAGATACAAAGGTCAAAAGTTAAACATCTTTATATTTAAGTAATAAAAGGAGAAATTATCATGCACAAATAGTTAACAATAAAAGCTTTTAAAAATATAAATCGACCATACAAAACTTAAGACGTATTATTACACTCAGGTAGCGTTAACAAAGTTAAGTATTGTAAAATTTGATATTTAAGTAAGTTTTATTAATAATACGATAATAAGTTTTATGAAGAATACGAATAAGTTCTTCCTCAATACCTGCATTCATACTATTCATAGAAAAAAGATTTAATCAGTTTATGATAATTAAATTGAACTAAATATATTCGAAAATAAATAAAATGCTTGAGTGTTCTCCCATTTTGGCTATTCACTTGCATCAACATTAAATTTCAATATCAGTTTGAAATAAATATAGACTCGATATCTTTCTAATTATTGAAAAAATTAAACAGTGTATAAAGAGATATAATTAACTAAAAAGTAACTTGGAAACCTCTTGACTGCCACTAGTATTTATTTTCATACACTTAACCATCAATACCAGATGACTTAAGAGGATAACAATATATGCAAACTTATTTGAGATTTAAAAAAAAAAAAAAAAAAAAAAAAAAAAAAAAAAAAAAAAAACAGCACATTGAAAAAGCATCACAATATAGGCAAACTTACTATTAAAGCAATAACAGCTTCTTCCACAGACTCTAACTGTATTAGTGCCATCTTTCTGTCTTTCCTACAATTAAGATTTAAGAAGCTTAGAGGCATTTCATTAATTACAACAAGTTAAAAATATAATTTAACCAAATGAAGTTAAAACTGTCCACACTTAAAAAAAATAAAAAACACAACAGATGACACAGATCCACCTGCATGATGAAATTTTGTTATTTGTAGACTACAACAAATAATTGATTATCAAAAAAATGAAAGCATTTGGTTACTGATATGCAAAAAATGCTAAAGGAATATGTGTTAAGGGTCAAAATAAAATGCTTATACAAAAAAAACTTTCAAAGGGAAAATAGATTTTTTGGAAATTTATTATTCAACATTATTTCAAAAATTGATAACACTGTTACAGTTTTTATAGAAATTAAAGAAGTTTTAATGAATGTTATTTTTTTAGAAGCTCAAGGAATAATTTAATAATTGAGGAACATTCTTAGAAAATAATAAGTTGGCAACTATTAAGAAAATAAAAAGTATAAGGATATTAAAAAATAAATAAACTCACGGGAAAAACTTAAAACCAACAATGTTGCTTCCAGTCTCATCTGTAAAGGCTTGTCTAATTTGCTCTTCAGTCACACTTGGACTAAAAATAGGAAAAAAGTAAAATTTTGATGAAAATTCAGCTCTCTTCACAAGGTAACAAAGCACAGAATATAAGAATAAATTAAATTTTAATGAATGGAGCAATTATTTTAACAATTTGTATTTCTGTGCAAACCATTATTTATTTGAGCACCTAACGAAGATTTTTATGGAAGATGTCATCAATCAATTCAATAGCCTACAGTGCAATTTTGTGCAGCAAATTGTAAACACATATTCATTTTGATTGATACTTCGCAAGTTAAATAACATTGCTGCCACACATTAAAATAAATTTATAGGTAAAAAAAAATATTATAATTTATAGGTAAAAAAATAACAGTAACATTAGTATTAAAAATAAATATCAATATTTAATTGGGTAAATTTCAAATAAATTGAATTAACAAAAAGTGCATATTTGATTTGGTTTAAATTTAATTTGTTAAAAAAAATTATGAGAGCAGCAACAAAAACTGACATCTTTGGAGAGCTCAAAAATAAGTGTTGGTTCTCAGAAGTCAACATAACATTTTTATGCCTGATAATTTTACTCCTTTTATTTTATATTGTGCCCAATTGAATTCATAAAATGCAAACATTGAACTTTGGCTATACTAAGCCTATATATTTTTTCCGATTTCCAGAAAACGGGTTCTGTAGTGGTATGGAATCGATCACCTGGAATGATCGGGACCATCGCTATTCCGGATAACCGATTTTTCGGAAAGCAGTTTTTTTTAATTGTTAAACCAAAGTAAAAAAAAAATGTTTGGAAACAATCTTAAAAGGAAGAAAAAACGATGAAGTAATACACTAATGATTATTTCCAAAATGATGGTTAGGTAAACATCTTCCAAAAAAAAAAGAAAGAAAAATCCTAAAATCTTATGAGGAAAAAAACATTAAAAATTTTTTTAAAAAACATGGTGGGAAAATGTATCGAACTTCGCTCCGGCTTTTTGGTTTCCGATTTCCGGATAACGTGTTCTGTACTGTAATTACATTATTTAGTTTTGTAAAAAAAAAAATTTCAAAATATTAAATTAATTTAGCTATTATTTAAAAAGGTTATATAGTGTATTTTTTAGATTTAAATAAAAGTTTTATAGATTTAAATCTAAGTTACTTAACACATCTGAGATATTTGAATCTATAAATATTAATAATGTACTAATCCATAAATAGAAGAGCGTGAGAAGGCCATTAGCTTGCCAGTGACAAAGGCACTTAACTAACAAGAGAAATAAAATTTTCTTTTGCTATAAGGAAAAATAAAATTTCGACATTGTTTAGTTGGTCCCCGTGATTAACAAACATGCGAGAGATTTTTCAGTTAGATTCCAGAGGGAAAATCAGAATTTCTTGCAAAATGCAGCAGAGTTGCACATGAAAGTGCAAGAGTCCTTCCTTTCTCAGTGAATGCAGCTCAGTATATGCACATGTGAACCCACAAGTATTTCATCAAACATGCAAAGTGATTGGCGCTTTTATACGCTACTGACAGATGGTACACCGAAATGGATTATAATTGAATGAATTGTGAAAACGTTGAAGAGAAAAAAGGGAATTTCATGCTTTTTGCATAATTTGTGGCGAAAATCAACATGCTTAAGAAAAAAATCTGATTTTGGGAATGGGAAAAATTTAGTACCTTTTGAAAATGCCTTCAATGGCTTTTAAAAAACTTAACTTTTAAAAATTATACGCACTCTGAATAATTAAACTATGATAAATAATAAACAAAACAGCTTTACTTACGGAATGTTAGACAAATGCAATGTGGCAGATGGAGCATATATGTTGAGGTAATTTTTTGAACCTGGTTTTTTAAATCTGTGCAAAGTAGACTGTGTATAATCTTTAGTTAAACCTGCATCCTGCAATAAAATTTTGATGTCTTAATTTATTGCTAAATAATATTTCGAACACAAAATGAATACTGGCTACAGAAACTATCATAGTTAAATCCAAAATAAAGACAAGCACTTACTGGTTGCCCATCCTTAGGCATTTGAACACTTTGGTGACGAGATGGTGCTACTCTAATTTGTTTCCCATATACTTTAATTTTATCAAGATGTGCCAAAGCTGCAAAAAAAATGATTTCTATCAATCAAATGATATAAATAAATTCTTACTATCGGTAATCAGATGTACAATTATGCATGCAACCGATAGTGTTTTACCATGTAATTCTATATGGATATATAAAAATAAGTATACCTAATATTAATAAAATAATTATACTAATATTAATACTAATGTACTAATTCATGTACTAATATTAATACATGAAATTACTATTAAACATAAAAAAGTAACACTTGAGAGTTACTAAAAAAAAAACTTTCACTGTAAACAAAATGTCAGAAGTCCTGTTAGTTCAGGGAGGAAAAAATATTATCAAATTAATAACAAAATTCTCGAGAACTGCAATTTTTATTGCTTAACGGAAACTCTGTAATTTTGACTATGAAATTCTAATAGTTGTCATCACTGTTGATGCAACAACCAGAAAATAAAAATTCCATAGGAATGACACTTATAAATTATTTACAATGTAAGAGATGCGCTTTTAATTGTGAAAACATAAGAGCAGTAAATTTTTCTAACTTCAAAACAATAGAGCCAACCATTAAGGCTTACACGATAAAAGAATTAGCACCCTGATCAAAACGTATTTCTAGTCATTTTATTTATATGCCCTTAATAAAACACTTTACATTATTTAGTATCGTAAAATAGGCCTCATATTAGAGAGTACATAAACTAAAAGTTAAAAAAAAAAAAAAAAAAANAAAAAAAAAAAAAAAAAAAAAAAAAAAAAAAAAAAAAAAAAACTTGAAATTAATGAAAGATGTTTTTAATGTTAAAAGCTATTTTATTTATTATATAAATACAAACACTTCCTGGCTTACCTAAATTGATAAGCTGCATTTAATTAATATGAAAAAGCCCCTTGAGTAAGAAATAGATAGACTTAAATTATAATAATCACCTTGCTTAAATATTAAATAATATTAGATGTAGAACCAAGTGAACAAAAAAGGTCCGTTGCTTTTGAAAATTAATATATTTACGAAGACTTGTAAAGAAGAGAAAAATATAGTATACTAACCTAATTGTGCCTGTTGTGGTTCAGCCATCTGGATAAGAGCATTATCTTTCTTATTAAAAAGGATTTTTACCCTGTGCACATCCCCATAGACACCTGCACAGAAAAAAATATTTGTTAAACTATATGTTGTGAATAGAAATAAGTTAAACTAGAGTGGAAAAAATAACATTAAAAACATTTTCGCTGCAAATATATTATAGGTAAATTAAGACTTCTGATTTCTAAAGCATAAACAATTTAAAATCAAATGGCTTTTCTTTCGTTTCGGTTTTAGCTACGAGTACTTCTTATAAAGTCATATATATAATGCAGCATCTGCTTAGTCTTAGGTAAAACTACAATATATCTCAACACCTGATATAACAAATGTAATTGTAAAATAAACAGTTATATGCAAGATAATTAAAACAACTTAGACAACGAAATATCAATTTTTTTTAACAATGGCACTAATTTTGATTGGAATTGATGCTAACAAAGAGTCATCAGTATTTTTAAATACAGTCGAATCTCGCTTTAGCGAAATCCGAAATATCGAAAATTTTAATGTAACGAATATTTTCCAAAACCCCAAATGAATCTCCATAGAAACGAGGAATTAAAAGTACCGATATTACGAAACTCGTAATCCGATTTAACGAAGGGGAAAATAAGCATTAATTCTCCTTTTCTCTCGTGATTTAAAACACTTTTCCATTCTTCAAAAGTACACAATGATCACAAAATTCAAATATTTTTGTGCATCTTCAAAATAAAAAGTTTAATAAAAGAGGGAAAATAAGAAAATGTGCGTAATTTGGAGGAAGTTTGCAATTTCTACTGGTTTTTATTCATTTGTACTGAAAAAAAATTACAGTTTACGTAATTTCTAATAGGTAAGTGATAATATATTCATTGCTCTTTTCAATTTAATTGTTTTTGCAAGCTTTTAAAATATTGATTAGATATTTTCCAAATGCAGAGTACAAATAGGTCAAAACTGTAATTAAATGCAATATTTATTTAATTTTTTTTTGGAAAAATTCCAATGCTACAAAATAATTTTTGTTAACGTAGAAATTCGCAATATCGGTATAACGAATTTTCGTTATTGCGTAGCGATTGCTTCAGTCCCTAGGAATTCGCTAAAACGGGATTTGACTGTAATCTAAATTCTATCAGTAAAAAAAATTGGTCAATCAGAATTGTTTCCCTCTTAATCCGCAGAATTGTTTTCTCCTTTACCAAGTTTTCATTGGAACTCTTGACTCGTCAATTGACGAAAGTCCTAAAAGAATGCAGTAAATTTTCCAACAAAAAATAACCACCTTTTAAAACTAAAAAATATTTTTTAACACTTAAACTAGGGCAGGCTCACTAATAAAAAAAATTTCTTCCTATTGTTGAAAGTTCTTCATTTACAAAATGCATCAATTTTCAATGACTTTACATGATCATAAAATAACAACTTTCTGACGAAGAACTCTTTACTTGATTATATTAACCACCATAAAAACAATTTTAAATATATCTAATATTGAGTGACTTATTCTATTTCTTAAAATAATAATAACTTTATTTAATTGTGTAAAAAAATTTAATTTAATTAATCAAGCATTATTTAAAAAGGTTATCTAGTGTATTTTTTAGATTTAAACAAAAGCATATTGAACCAAACATTAACAAGATTAATATTATTGATTATACTGAATTTATAAAGATATGAAAAGAATTAAGCAAACTAAGAAAACTTTAATAAATTCATATTCCAAATGTAAATTAGAGTATGGTCCCTAATTTTAATTAAAATTTGCAACCTGGTTCAATATTTCTTTTAAGAAATGATAAAAAAATTTATTATAGATAATTTTGAAATTTAAAGACAATGAGTATTGAAGCTAAACAAACATCTACACTCATGATATTAAACAAATCTGAGATAATTGATTTTAAAAGTAATAATAATACAATGTAAAGGGCAAAAAGTAAAAAAAAGGCAATGAAGTACAATTAAGGTTTAAAAAAATTTATGCAATTAGGATATAAAAATCTTGCATTTAAAAATCTCATTTAATTATTATCTTTAGTAAATTGAATAAATAAAAGGGAGACAGACATTTTGAGGTGATAAAGCTCTATGATTCACGACTGCTCTGGGAACCCACACGAAAAAAAAGTAATTGGTGTATGGTCCCTTAGTCAAATTCAAAGATTACGGCAATGATCTATAAATAGAATAGCACAAGAAGGCCATTAGCCTGCCAGTAATGAAGAATATAGCGCTTCACCAACAATGAAATTAACAAGAGAAATTAAATCTTTCTTTTGCTATTAGGGGAAAAAATTTGGCAATCTTTAGTTGGTCTCCGTAACAAAATAAAAATTCAGGAGATTTTTATACACTAACTCTCTATATTAAAAAGCTGCAATAACAATTTGGGTGTTTAACTTAACATTACATTTTGTTTTGATGAACAAAAAATTGGATTGTAGAAAATGTATAGGGAGTGCCACAAAATAAATAAAAATTACAGGTAAAAATATCATACGGGCTACTCTACAGGCTGTAGGCATTTTTCAAATCCAGGTAGTTGCCTATTTTGTGATAATTAAAAAATTAACGAAATATTTTTACATAAAGGTAGAATAATCGTATACTTAAAACCAATAAAATTAAAAAAATAGTAAAGTTTTTTTTTGAGCATTTTTGAGAAAATGTAATTTTTAACAAATTTTGACTTTTTACAACTACAAATTTAATGTATTTATATTATTTTATGCATAAAATATAATTTTTTATTACAAATTACACGCCTAAATTAAAATTAAAAAAATCAGAAGTCTCTAAAATTTCATATTTGAAATCAGTTGATCAGTTTGTTGAATAAAATTCATTAGGGCTTCAATTTTTTTTTTTTTTTAAATTGAAAAAAAAAAAAAAAGTTTAAAAATTGTGAATCCAAAATCTTCATTAATTACTGCATTTATATTTTATTTTGGCTGTTTTAATTTACATTACAACATTTTAAGTTTATAGAAAAATAACACATATGCGTATTACTATTTGAAAACGATTGAACGTTCAACAGCCTTTTTGAAGTTAGAAGTTTTCGTAATTTTCTAAACTACCAAGTGTCAAAGAATAATTTTATACTAATCTTGAATTTATTTTTGAGACATTTAAATTTCATTGTTAAGGTAACAAAGGTGGTATCTATTTAAAGATAAGGCTAACAAATTTAATTCAAATCGAATGCAAAAGTGCACCCAATTTTAATTTACATTTCATATCAGTAGTATATTTTAAACATTTAATCTATCCTATAATTTAAATATTGAATGATAATGGGCATTTAATAATTTTCAGTATCTCAGATGGAATTTTCATTTAGATGGTTCCATATGAGTTAGATCATAGAAATTTAGATTCTTTTGCACACTTTATTTTTTTTAAAAACTCAAACCTTTAGTTTTCTCAAGAATTGTAATTTTTGTTCTCTTTGTTCAAGGGTGAAAAACTGAAATTTATGATCTATTAAAGGAAAGAAATCGCCAAAATATTCAGAAAATAAAGCAAAATTTAAAAGAGTTGTTATCTACACTTTTAATTTTATAAAATGGTAACCTTTATTTCATTAAGCTTTGGTATTGAATTGATTCTGTTTTTGCTTATTTTAGGCCTTTTCTTTCATTTTTACTATATGTGTGAAGTGAAAGTCCAACTGTAAAGCTTTATACATAAATCATGATTAAAATCAATAAAATAATATCTAAATAAAACAAGTTTTGGAAGTCTGAAATTAGGTGAAAAGTTTAAAAAAATCACATGTCTGGTTTATACTTCAGTACAACAAAACAATATCACTCAAACACAATAAAAATTTAATTGTAGTTTCGTATTGAAAAAGCGGTACATACTCAATTCAAACATGTGATTACAGGAAGAAATTATCTGAATTTTTTTTTTTTTTTCCTCAAAGTGTAGTTATTTTTTATTTTCAGGTATTTAATTTTTTCTTTTTGTACATCGAAGATAAGTAACAAACAAGACTGTCATGATTATGCACAAAAAATCGTAAATTGCAAAAAGCGGAAGAAAAAAAATCTATATTTTATCTAACAAATTTCTTTCTTCTCATCACAAAAGCAAACATAGATATTGAAAAAAAAATTATATCCTAAGTCGTCATCACATCATTAAAAAAAAAGATATAAAAAACCGAAATCCACGGCAATAAATGTATAAAAATTGATGATAAAACCACGTCCATTTAGCAAAATCACAAGGACCGGATGCATCAAAAAGGCGTTAATTAAGTGCTCGGTTTGTAAATAATATGGTTTTAAAAAAAACTAAATTTTAAAAAATTATGCAGAATTAGCTATGATAACTGCTGAAAAATTGATTGGAAAAATGATAGAATTATCTTGGCAAATAGTAAATACTCAGATTCTCGATTTGAATTTCTAGTATTTAACAATTTTCGGATTTTGTAAAACCATGTAGAAACAAACAGCAATAACTGCCAAAAAACACTGATCAAAAAGTTGCATAGATTTAGTGGATAAAGTAATTATGCCAAAATAGCTTAAAAAAGTAATTTCTCAAATGTGCAATCTGAATTTGTTTTTTATTAACGTTGTAAGAAAAAATAGGGATCTTCAACGAAACAGCGGCATTGTCCTGTGAAAAAGCGATGTATAAATATTCAAATTGAATTTTGCACCTAATAATGCATAAGAAATATATGGGTTAAAAAAAAGAAAGAAAAAAACATGCGTAAATAATAGCCGGTAAAACGATCGAAACGGAGGAATTTATGACACTATCGACACAAATAGAGCACATTAGAAAGTGATCACTCCAATGTGCAATTCAAATTTTGCATGTCACAACATGGAAATTTTAAAAACCAAGAGAAAATCAATTGCATTAACTGCAAAAGAAGGAAAGAAAAAAAAGGATCAAAACACGGATTGATAATACTACCTAGCATGTCGAAAAGTTATTACTGGAATTCGAGATTTGAAATTTCCACGTCATATCACATTAAAAATTAATTGAATATTAAAATTGATCTAATTGTAGCTGGATAAAAACGTGAGCAAATATA